CTCGATGAGGGCGATGGCGTGACGCGGCACCAAAAAATAAAATGAGGATTTTTCAAGGGGGCTGGGCTGGACAGGAAGTTGGGGGGGCTGGGTGGGAGGTCGGGGGGCCAGGCCCCAAGATGCCTCACTTTGGTCTTTAAAAAGAAATATTACCACTTAGAAAAGGGGAGGGCAGGGAAATAGATTGTGGCAAATGCAATGCTTCCTATCGAGAGCCAGTTTGGTGTAGTGGTTAAGTGCATGGACTCTGATCTGGGAGAACCGGGTTCGATCCCCCACTCCTCCACTTGCACCTGCTGGATGACCTTCGGCAAGCCGTAGTTCTGTCCAGGGGTCATTTCGTTGAAAAAGAGGTGCAGGAGCTCATTAGCACAACTCATTAGCAAAACTTATTTGCATATGCCACACCCCCTGACACCACTGGAAGTGTGTCAGAAGGCAACACCCACCGCAACTTACCTGGCTGCTTCTTGCTCCTCCTGGCCCGGGGCTGCTGGGAGCAGGGGGCAGGGCTTCTTGCATGTGCCCGCCCCCTGGGCTCTTTACTGCCGGAGCTCCACTCCTGTGCGCTCCTGCAGGAAATGACCCCCGGTTCTGTCAGAGCTGTTCTCTCAAGGGCAGTTTCTGTCAGAGCTCTCTCAGTCCCACTTCCCTCACAGGCAGTGTTCCCTCTAAGCTGAGTTAGTGTGAGCTAGCTCACAGTTTTTTAGCCTCTGGCTCACACATTTTTGTCTTAGCTCAGGAAGGATGGCTCCAGAGCAAACTATTTTATGCAGTGGCCAAATCACCTGCTCACAACAAATAACTTCTCTGGCATACTATTTTATGTCCTGAAGTCTAAGCTATTAAAATTGTGATATTTTCTGTGCTGGTGTAATTCTGAAGTATTGTAGCTCTCTGAGCTGATTTGCTACATGGGTTGGTTGCCTACTTCATTCTGTTTAGATTAAGGTGAAGCATAGGCGTAATCTTCGTGGGGGCGGCGGGGCTTCAGCCCCCGCCGAAATTTTCAGGAAAGTGCTCAGCCTCCCCCGGGAGCCACCCTTGCTCCTAGCACAGCAATGCCTCTGGCCCAGCCCCAGCCCCCCCCGGGAAATTGGAAAGTCTACACCCTTGGCCCCACCTACCTCACAGGGTGTCTGTTGTGGGGAGGGGAAGGGGAAGGAATTTGTAAGCCGCTCTGAGACTCCCTTGGGTAGTGAAGGGTGGGGTATAAATCCAGTCTCTTCTTCTTCTTCTATCCTTTTTTGAGAAGTCAGTGTATCCCTTCGGCACTGTGCCAGTTCTGGTAGTTTAAAAACAACAACACACATTTAACAAGTTTTAGCTCAAAAGATCACCTTACAGAAAGAGAAAGGTCAGTGTGAAATAATAGTCAGAGTATCAGAGGAGGTCAGCATTTGAATCCCTACTCAGCAGTGTTGGCAACCTCCACGTGGCACCTGGCGATCTCCTGCTATTAATTTGCTCTCCAGATGACCAGGATCCCTTGGAGAAAATGGCTGCTTTGGAGGGTAGAATCGATGGCCTTGTACCCTGCTGAGGCCCCTCCCCTCCCCAAACCCCGCCTTCCCCAGGCTCCACCCCCAAAATCTCCAGGTATTTTGCAACCCAGACCTGGCAACCCTATGTATAGCATGCACATTTACTTTGGAGTGGGACTCACTGTTTTAGGGAAAGGTTGGCATACATCAGTAAGTGTTGTGTTGTAGTGGGTTTGATGCATCGAATGATCAGGAAACAGACTGATATTCAGTACACGTTTACATAACACGTTTACATAACACAACATAACAATACGATACCAGCCGGAGGCCAACTATATACAGTCTCTGTGGACCACCCCCAGGTCCCATTGGTGGGTTTAAACTTCCTGCCAAGGTTCCCATTGGTGACCACTAGAGGTTTCAGGATCCTAGTCCCTATTGTTCCTAGGAATCCAAGCTCCTTTAAATATGCTGCCACCTAGTGGCAGTCAGTGGACATAACAGTAAGCATCACATGGAGGCAGGGAGGGGGGAAATATGGACTAGTAATACCCAGTAACAGTAAAAATCAACACTTGGTGCCAAAAGATCTAATTTGATGCCAAATGGACAGATACAGAAGAGAGAAGAAGAGATTGGATTTATACTCTGCCCTTTAGGAGGAGAGGGCGATTGGATTTATACCCCGCCCTTCACTACCCAAGGGGGTCTCAGAGTAGCTTACAAACTCTTTTCCCTTCCCCTCCCCACAAAAGACACCCTGTGAGCAATGCTCCCTCTAAGCTGTGCAATCTTGTGAGCAAAAATACTACTTTGTGAGCTACTGGCATTAAAGCTCTGAGCGAGCGATTTGGCTACTGCATAAATCAGTTTGCTCTGGAGCCATCTTTCCCGAGCTAAGACAAAAATGTGTGAGCTGGAGGCGAAAAAACTGTGAGCTAGCTCACACCAACTCAGCTTAGAGGGAACACTGCTTGTGAGGTAGGTGGGGCTGAGAGAGCTCTGACAGAAACAGCTCTTTTTCAAGAACAACTCTGACAGAACTATGGCTTGCCCAAGGTTATCCAGCAGGTGCAAGTGGAGGAGTGGGGAATCAAACCCGGTTCTCCCAGATCAGAGTCTGCGCGTTTAACCACTACACCAAACTGGCTTTACTACCCGAAGAAGTCTCAGAGTGGCTGACAATCTCCTTTCCCTCCCCCTCCTCGCAAGAGACACCCTGTGAGGTAGGTGGGGCTGAGAGAGAGTGCTGAGAGAATTCTTGTGAGAGAACAGCTCTGAGAGAACTGTGACTGACCCAAGGTCACACCAGCAGCTGCATACTTTAACTGAGGGTCCGTGACAAAGAAGGCCCTGCCTTATAAGGCTGTAGTCACTTCAGATGTCAAGGCAACCCAGTCAGGACTGATAGGAAGTATTTTGACCCCCATAACAAGAAATGTGCCGCTAGTTTAGGTAGCTTGACCAGAGAACCGGTCCTGACTCAGAGTGGTGGTGGAAGATAAAGGTTAAATCCTCCCCCCCCCCCGCTGTGAGACAGGAATTCTGTCTCTGGCTGTGTTTGCCCAACCCAACCTGAGAAACACACAGCAACAGTCCTGTAGAGGAGAAATACTAAGAAATTTATTAATTAATAAATGGAAAAGCACAGATAAACAAAGGTTTGGGACCCCTGAATACCCACCTGCTCTTCC